TATGTGTCTGGAGGGGCGGAGGAAACCACGAAGTGAGAGCAGCCCACTCCTGACTGTCTTTTCTAATGGAAAACCAGACAGTGCGACCACTGGGCCACATGGCGTAGCCTCCTAGCCCAGACACATCCGCATCTGCAAAAGCGTCCGCCTCCGCAATGACCTTCAAAGGGAGCGGGCTGCGAAGCGCCTTCAAGAATGGGGTTCCCTGGAAGATGGCACGCCAAGCAATTAAGCTTGACCTGCCTACATCCCCGAGGACTCGCAGTGGATGCCCAGGATCCTTAACCTCGACCCACAATCGGCGCTTCCTGAAAGGAACCTGATCAAGATCCTGCTTGCAAGACACAAAGGTATTGGCCGCACGAGTGATGCAAGCACCTTTATGGAAGGACGGATGTCCAACCGAGCGGGTCAGCACACAATCCTCAGCAATGTTGCGCTTGATCGCAGCCCATAACTCAGGGCTGACACCAACCGAGGAAGCTGGTAAGCGCTGCAGAGCTGCATAAAGTGGGGACAGCAAAGGCCGAAGCACCGTCCACAAGCCTGTAACCCACAAGAGACGTCCAATGAGTGATTCCAAAGTCTTGAACCTGACCTTGTCCCCAGCAGAAAGAAGCTCAGCGATTTGATCAAGAATTTTGGAAATTTTAGCAGACGGGAGCTCACAAATCCAACTTTCAAGATTGATGGACCATCCAATCCAAATGCACTCCGACGACCAGACACACTTTGGCCAAGAAAGTGGTACTCCCAGTGCTAAGAGCAGGAGAATCCAGATGGAGGCAGAGATCGGAGCCACATCACCGCGAAAGCCTCCCAAAAAATCGTCCACGTAGCCCCAGAGCAGATGTGAAAGCCAGATCGCTGCGTGCGACAGACGAAGTAGGGCTCCACCAACTCTGGCCCACCAAAAAGCAGAGGCTCGGGCCCCGAAGTTAAGGGTGCTGGACGTAAAAACCCGTCCTTCGAAGGTGAAGGCCAGCAAAGCCTGGTCACAGTGTTCCACCATGACCATGCGGTGAGCCTTGCGCACATCCAAAGAAATCGTGATCCAAGGTTGACGGCCTAGGCAGGAAGGAGCGCAATCCTCGACGTCAGATATGCGTGGCAGCAGCATATGATTTGGAATCTGACAAGCGGCCGTGACACCACTAATGGAGCTGTCAACCGTGAGTCGAGGTGACCTGCCTTCAGCCAGAACCAAGCCAAGTTTGCCGATCGCCACCGCCGGGAAGTTATCGTGCAGGTACTGAACTGAAGGTCGCTCCACGATCCAGCCTTCAGCGATTTCCTGGGCCAGGAGCTCCCGGACCTGATCCGGGTGGTCAGAGGCACTCTTCCAAGAACCTTCGCAAATCACGAGGTCCGACACGACCGGATCTGCTGTGCGAAGTGGCCAATGAGGCGAGGGCTGCAGTTCGTGGTCCACACCTATCCGCACCCCTTTCCGTAGATGCTGGCACAGATCTGATTCAGGGTCCTTGGTAAGAGCCAGCAGCTTCTCCAGGACGTTCAAGCGGAAAGGCTGTCCCGGTGGGATTGATAGAAAATTCTCGATCTCCGAATCCGGGACCTCACAAAAGCAACACAGATCATCGAGAAATGGCTGAAGTTCCTCCGCGCTGATAGGTGGACAATCGGTACCAGCACGCAAAGTGGAACAGATGCGGAGACAGAGACGACTGTCGACCAGACGCTGCGTCCACTTCTTGCGAAGACCTGCAAGGTGGTCATCGGCTTGGGGAGTAATCCAGCACGCTGTACTGTTGACACCCGCACCATCCTCAACGCGGCGACTCAGCTGAGGCCAAACAGGGTCCATGGGGAGCACAGAGCGCCACTCTGCGCATGGAAGCAGCCGGCCCTGAGACGAAGTGTACCTTCCCAGAAGCGCAGCCAAAGCGGCAGCCAGCGATTTCGGGTACGCAGCCGTCATTCGGCTAAGGAAACTCCCATCAGCTGCACGAACCCCCCACACAGCCTTGTGTGCCCTGGATCCATGATGGCACTCCGACGCGAGGTCAAGGATATCCGGCCTGTTGGACAAGAAGAGCCAGCGCTTGGACACATCCATGCCATGATGACAAGCTGCAACTTGGGCACCGAATGAAAGTGTGCTGCAAATCCACTGTTGCATTGTTTCCGTCAAGAAAGTCATGGAAGATGGCGGCTGCTCAAAAACAATGCAGCCTCCAAGAGCCGCGACACTGGAGAGAAGCTCTCGACATCGATCGTGAAGTAGAGCACTGTTCTGAGCCACCATAGATTGATGCCAATCGTTGGAAAGGCACCCGAGCGGCTCCTCCGGTGTGCGGCACGGGGGTGGTCCGCCCGGTCGCAGTTTGAGAAGGCTGAATTCCCCGCAGGGCGGAGATGCAATAGCCGCTCCAACCACGCCGCTGGAGCAGAGCGCCAGGAGTTGAGCGAAAAATTCATCCTCCAGAAGGTCGAAATCCTTGCAATGAATGATGTCAACTGGTTGAAAGCAGTCCTTGCCCAAGGCTTGCATGGCCGCGCTGACAGGAGCCCCAGCCCCGGAACAGAGATCCAGAAAGAAACGCCCCGAATTGCAGTCAGAGACGAAGTCAGAAATAGGCAACCGAGGCAAGTCAGGGGAGATCCCTGTTCGGAGGTGGTGGCCAGAAGCAACCGCACTGACAGAATTTGGCCGAGGGAGCAAGTCCCGCTGCTCCTCAGTGAGTGCAAGAGCACGAGGTGCAATGGGCACAGCACCAGTCACAACCGAAGGGGAAGGAGGCCTAAACCCTAGGGAGGAAAGGCGGGCGGAAGTATCGGCAGCCAGCGACTCACAAGCTCGAAGTGTGTAACCCACTAGAACCAGACGGCGACCTTCAAAGGGCAGAACTTCATGAAGGCAAGACGATGCAGTGAAGATCACGGGGCCGCGACACACAGGAAGAGAGACGGCCGAGTGCCGGACGCCATCATGCATCATCACATCAGCCCCGGAGGGGTGCGCAACCCGCAACTCACCACCGGAGAAACAAGAAATGGGAATGACCACATTGGGGAGGTCCGAGTTGGCAGTATCACAGTGGGCCTCCGACGCAATGCCGTCGATCAGGACAAAAGATGAGTGGAAAAACCCAGGTGACATTGAAGAAATGAGCGAATTCAGCACTCGCACCGATGAAGGGTGTGACCCGCATACCTTGCGTAGGCCAACCTTGATCCGATGGTAAAGACCAGCCGAGACCGATGCACCGCTAGAGAAACGATCGTCAAGGTCAGGTGCTTCTTGCAGCAAAAGGTCAGCAAGCCTCTCAACGCTTTTACACGATAAGGCCACTGATTTGGACAAAATCGAATCTGCAAAGGACTCAGCCTCAGACTGAGAGGACACAGAGGCAACAGGGGCAAAATCAGGCGGGGGATCAAGGTCCATGCCATCCTCCACCGCTGCCTGTCAATGGGGGGCAGCATTATGCGCGGAAGCAGGGTGGGCGGCCCCACATGGCTTCCCATCAGCACCAAGGATCGGGCACTTGTGACTGAAACGGCAGGATTTGTTTCTGCACTTATCCGTGTGATAGCGGATACACGCACCGACCCCGCCGATCTGGCGAGCCCAATTGCTCGGCCAGTTGCTGATGGAGACGCGATCTTTGGAGGGAGCCGCATCCCCACTCTTGCGTGGCTTGGCCTTGCTCTTGGCTTTGGCTCGAGGATTGGGATGTGGAGCGGGCGGCGGTTCAGTGCGCTGGCGTTTGACGCGAGGCTCACCACCACCCTGGTGCGCCTTCGGCCGCGGAGCCAAAGCGTTATGAAGGTCCGATCGTACATGTGTCAGTTCCGAGACACAATCCTGCAAGGACCAGCCATATTCCTTTTGCAGGGAGCAGATGGCACTCCAAAGCACACGATCGGCATCCATAGCCTCAGCCAGCGTTGGTCCTCGCAGAGAACGGTCAATCGGGATGGCGGTCGCCAGGCTCACAAATTTCTCCGAGAGTTTCTTCAGAGTCAGTAAGTGGCATGCATCAAGAACCGCGAGGGCATAAGACATGCGGTCGAGGTAGCGACGAATCACCGACTCAAGGGGGAGGTGCTGCGGGACATCCACCACCAGTTCGTCCGAGACCGGACCAAGCAGTGACTGTAGCATCTGCGAATCCGTGCGCGGTTTGCGTCGCTCGGTGAGAGCCTGTTCATCTGACTCACTCGTTCGAAGTCGCCAGGAGATCCAGGAGAGCTGCTTAGAGTCGACCGCATCCTTGACCGCATTCAGGAAAGGCAGGCTTGGCATGACTTCCGGGCGAAGGAGTTCCGAAGGATATTTGCGCGAGAACTCCACCACAAGCGATTGCACATCCGCCGATTGCAGTTTTGGTCTCGCAGCTGCCGGGGTCGGTGCAGCCGGAGACGAAGCACCGGCCGGCCCTGCCAGATTGATGCACTCTTTAAGCACACGACGAAGGGCAGCCGCCTCCGGAGAGAAAATGGGGACCGTCGGGTCCGCACCCACTGCTCTGCCCAGCAAAGACTCAACAAAGGCCTCGAGGTCATCCAAAGACGGAAGAGCATGGGCCAGCAGAGCCATGGTGTTGTAGCCTGCATCACGAAGCTTGTCCTTGACTGCATCCGGCACCGCCCACCTGGTAAGAAGGCCCGTGAAAGCGGCGGGGTCATCGAGCATGACGGTGGATCCTGCCATGGCTTTTCTTAAGTCCCTAGCAGCCAAACGCTAGCGATTGCCGAATGCCGAGAAGTGCAGAGAACCTAATGCACCAAGCGGGGATCCCAGCTTTTGCAACCTGAGGTTACGTAGAAGACCACGGCCGGTTGGCCGAGCTCGTCTAGCACAAAGCAGAGAGCCGCGTAGTACCAAATGCACTAACACCGGCCGAACAAAAGATGCCAGGAAGCAAGTCCGGCGAGGCAGATGCAAAAGCGGCTCCGACCGTGCACAAGGCCCGGGGTGCAAGCGTGCATCCCCAGGCATGCAACGAAGCCCCGCAACCACGCCTGAACAAGACCTAGGAGTCCAGCAAGGATGCAAGTGCGGGGTCCTTCCCACACCCGTGCTTCAAGCACAAACGTGCACCCTTCGGGATCACAGATGTCCGAACTAAGGCTCCAATTGCCAGATTACCTCTTATGGAGCAACCTGGGCGAAGAGGAGCATCCCCAACTGCATCCGGAGCTGGGCGGAACTGACAAGCTGGATGGTCTGCCCGGCAAGGCTTGGCAAGATGCACAATTGACGTCATTGGATTAAATAAAAATTCGAACTCTTCCGGCTCACCAAGATCCTGCGGTGAAGGCGCCGCATCACCGGACGAGACCAGTTCCCAAGCAGCGGCCGGGGCCGCTGATGTGGACTCGACCTCAGGAGCTGCCGGAGCATCATCTTCGGAATCCGAGCTCGAATCTTGATCAAGGACCAAAGGCTCTCTGTCGTGGAGCCTGGGCACCACCGGATGGGCTCGAGAGTCCGAGGCGGCCGGCTCCAAAGCCGGCACAGCAACTGTGATGTCAGGGAGTGACGGCGCGCCACCTCGGAGGGCTGGCCTCAGCGGTCTGAATCCATTCGCCACTGCCTGGACGATAGAAGACTGGAGTGCCAGGGGACCTGAAACATCATCTCTGCCGTATAACCGGGTCATGGCGTGCCCCGGCGGCGGGCGGTGGTGTCCTTGCTCTCGCCGCAAGGCTTCGTCCAACAAGAGCTGCTTAGCCAAAGATAAGAACGTGACTTTGGCACTGTGCACGCCAATGAGTGACAAGTCCGGCCGTTGGTCCGCCGGGTAGCTCTCATAGCACATCGCCAACAGTCGGCGGATCAGGACCACCCCCGCAGCACGGCTCAGAGGAGCCAAGAAAACCGGAGCACGGTCATCCGGACCCAAGTCGGCCACCAGAAAGTCGGGCTGAAACCCAGGGCGAGCGGCCGAAGTGCGGGTCACCGCCTCTTGGACCAGACACAGCCAGACCTGGCCCCAGCCGGGGGCCGTTTGAGGCCGAGCGAGAAACCCGGGAGCCCAGGCTCCCCACGGCATGGATCGAGAAGTAGTTTTCGTCCTTGTAGCACAACCAAGAAGCGCCTGCCGATCCAAGTGAAGAAAGGAAGGCGGAGACCACTGAGCATCAGACCAGCGAAGGCTGGCAAACACGCACACCAGAAGGAAGCCACACCGAATTCGATGTGCCGCTGACTGGGTCGCATCCAGCACTTGCTTTTCCAACCAAATGACGAAAGAAAGTGGGAAAGGTGCTGTCTCTCTGCGCTGAACCACATTCACGGATTTGCCAAAGGCCCGGACCGCCTCAGACTGTAGTGCCAACTTGAATGATTCGACCTCCAGCCGCGTAGTGACGAACCTGAAGGCCTTGAGCCATGCGATAGCCGATCCCAGAAGACCTTTGCAGTGCGTGATCAGGAAATCGCAGAGGAATGCAACCTTGGGTGCCCATTCATCTGCCGATTGGACCTGGCAAAACTCGACCCAATGTTTCCAACGTCCGAAGTAGTTGGTGAGAGTCGACGGAGCATTCCCCTGAACCAGGCGCACCAGAAGTACCGAAGAATTCGGACTCTGCAAAAGCTCTGACACCATTGCTGAGGCAGCAGCGGCTGTGGCTGCCAGTGCCAGCCAGACCTTAAGCTGCTCGTTTTTGGCATTCTGCCAAGCCGACAACATAGTGCCCGGTGCAGCCGGCTTGTAAGGATGAGCCGGAGCAGGAGGAAAATCCTTCATGTTCGAGGGCACCCTTGCACTGCGGAGCGGAGCAAATCCGCCCTTGGAGACCACTGACTCGTCCACCGGGCTCGGAGGTCGAAACTTCGGCGCCAGTGGCGGTGCAGGAGCCGGTTGCTCCGAACCCAAAGGCGCGCGGTGGCACCTCGGTAGCAGCAATGGAGCCAGAGCCGGGCTCGGAGCCGGCAGTAGTGCAGGAGCAGACGGCTGGCGAGGCGTTCCATCCGGCAGCCAGCGACTGGCCATGATCACACAGAGAGACCCTAAACTAGGAGACCCACCCCCAAAACCTGAGCCTAGCAGAAAGGTCAGAGCGACTGGCTGATCCGCAAGCAAACACAGCAAGCCCAGGCAAACGGTTCAACGAGAACCGGTGCATCGCAGAGTTTTCCAGATCAATTTGCCAAAATCGCCTTGGTGCCCGGTAAACACAAGCTGTCAGTCGGAGCGGAGGCTAAGGGTGTCTGAGCTCAAGGTCGCCGGCAGCCGCGACACCAAGGACTCAAGGCGAGCCACACGGTCAAAAAGTGAACTGGACCCTGATGTCGTATCCTGCTGAGACAATGACTGGAGGGCCTGTTCAACCCGCGCCAACCTTGCTGGGAGAGCATCTGATAATGCCTGCGCCGCCACCTGGGGATCACCTGTGATCGTTGGAACCAATAGGCCCAGAGCCGATCGCAGATCATCAACATTTTCCCAGAGCAACCTGACACGAGTTTCCAAGCGATCCAACCTCCAGGACAGTGCATCCGTCTGTAAGGCAGACTGGCTGACATGAAGCGACACAGAATCCAAGCCCTCGGATAGAGCAGCAACTCTCTGTTCGATAGCCAGAAACCGATCCGCCGCATCCGACAAAAGAGTATTGTCAGAGTTCGGAGGCCACACCAAATGTTCCATATTAAGAAGCCTGCCCTCAAGGTTCGCAGCCTGAGACATACACAATCGAAGATCCTGGGCGAGTTCCGCTAGATCCGAGGCAGTGGCCCAGGCCGGCTGGACCAACGCAGGTCCCGAGCGAGGCGGGCTTGTATCAACGATCGGATCATCCTCAAGAGAACTGTAGGGGCGCCTCCGATTGAACCTGAAGCAAAACGGTGAAGAGCTCCGCCGCGACATAGAGAACCGACCTGACAGCGGAGGGAAAGGGGTGGGGCGTGAATGGGGACAAGGGGGCAAAAAGGCAGCGATAGTGCAAAGCACAACGGCCTAGCGCAGAAGCGCCGTCCCAGTACAGCGTGAACTAGGAAGTACCCAGACCTGATCGATGGGGTACACAGAACCCCCGTGATTTGGCTGAGGCAGAATAGTCTGCCAGACGCAGCCAAGGTTAGGGCCAGGGGTCCCCGTGGCGAATAACGCCAAGCGACCTGAAGCCGCCAGAAGCACCACGGGAACCGAGCATGCCACGGTTCCAGCGCTTCAAAACTGAGAACGGTGCTGGGTCCCAGCAATCAAGCACCGACCTGAAGAGACACGTGAAACCCCCGGGCAAGCCAAAGGACTCAAGATGAGGGGCGAGCCCCTTCACTCAGATCCGTCGGAAAGACCTGAAAGCACAACGGGAACCGAGAGAACGGCTCCAGTGCATCCACCTAGGGGCGTGGCAAGGCTCTTCAGTCACAGCCACGACCTGATGAACATGACGTGAGCTCCCAGGGAAAGCCACCGGGACTCAACACGAGGGGCTGGCCAGTAAAAATAATCCTCACCGCGACCTGAAAAGCGACAAAAGGCATGACGTGAGATCCCAGGAGAAGCCTCGGGGACTCAAAAGCCAAGGAGCTGGCCAGCAGGAGCCGAAGTCACCGCGACCTGAAAAGCAGGACAGGACAGGCTTGATGCGGGGGGGGGGCAGGGGGGCCAGGTCGAGGGCCACTACGCACCACAGGCGTGAAGGCTCCGACTGAGGAAGCGGCGCCAGCGTGGCCCACCCCCAGACCCGTCCCGTAAGCACAGCCCGCACTCGGAGCCGGCAAGCGGTAAAGGCACAAGCAAGTACATGCATACCGAGGCAGCAAGAACCAAATGTTCAGCAACACATCAATGACATAATTGTGCAGTTGATACATGACGCTGCAAATGCAGAAAGCCTTTCATTCGGGAGAGCCGGAGGCACTCACGGTAGGAGCTTGCAGGCTGAGACCCGCCACCAAAATGACAGCTAAGGCAAGGAAGTACGACTCGGCGAGCTTCCCCGTCTGCACAGCAATGTGCCAAAAGATCCAAAACCAGCCGTCCCCCAGAGTCAAAACCACCCTGCATCCGTCACGGCATCATGGAGTACGAGGCCCAGGGCGTGTCTCCATCAAGAAATGAACATCCTGAGAAATCTGCGCCAGCTGACGACGGAGTCCTGCATGAGCCTCAGGGGTATTGCAAGCCTGAACATGCCGAGTGAGATCATCTCGAAGCTCGTTGCGATTGCTGAGGTCATTCAACGCATTGGATTCACACTCAGAGAGTCGTAGTCGAAGATCGCGGATAATTTTCTCCAGCTGGACAAGAGAATGGTCCTCGATGAAGCCAAGGCGATTAAGCGCAGAATCCAGACGGTGGGTCAAGATGGCCACCATAGTATCAAGGCCATCCAAGCGCTCAACCGCCACCTCCAGGCGCCGAGCCAGCTCGAGAAGGCTAGGAGCACCCGCAGTCAATGTCGACAAAGGAGTCGAAGCGGCACTGGTGTCCATAGGCCCAGCAGAAGCTGAAGCCACACCGCCCGCAACCACGTTGTTCAGTGCCAGTGACAACGAGAGCGGCCGCCGAGCCTGTTCAAGCCGCCGGAGACGAGCCCAACGTGCAGCATCGCTCCCTTCGTCCTCCATGTCAGGCTCATCTGCACCGGTCAAAAGCTCAGAGGAGACCCCTGCCGAAGCCCGATCAGCACGACGCCCGGCATCATGGTCGCCATTGTAAGAATCAGTGGCGTCATCGCCGGAAGCCGATGAGCTTCGTCGAGAAGCTGCCGGCATGCAGCAGCCAGGCTAGAAAGACAAACGAAAGCGAAATTCAACACTGCCACGTCCAAGCATGCGCAAAGGAAAAAGGCATGTGTTGAAAATCAAAACTTGCCTTCCGGGCTTTGAGGGCTAGCAAACCAAATCGTTTCAAAAACGAAAATCGCACTCAATTCTCAATATTCCCGAATCAACATAATCACGTATCCCCAAGTAGACGCCCGGTGATGCGACCCCCCCGGGTGCTTCCCCGCAAGGTGGGCTGGGATCCAACAAGCATGATGCGACTTAGCCCCGTCACTGTACAGGGTGTGTCACAGCGCCGTGGCCAGGCGGAAATGTCCGTTTCACGTCTCTGGCGGCTGACGACTATAGTTTGACGGGGACGGGACGTCCTAGAAAGAGCTTGGGGACAGTGGCCGACTCTGGCAAGGAGCTTGGAGTGCGAGTCTGGCGGCAAAGCTGGACAATTCTGGCACGGACTGCCGGGCGAAAAAACCCTGGCGGCCGACTGGATGATCAGCACTCTTGGCCGGACTGGCACGGACAGCGGACGGCTGCAGACCACTTCTGGAGGCCTGGCACTGGGCCCTGACGGACGACTCTGACGACGGCTGACGGACGACTCTGGCGGCCGGCGAGGACGAGCGAGGACGTCGCTGCTATTTTGTGACTACATCACTCGGATGTCCCTTTGACGTTCCTCAACATTGCAACGTCTTTTCGGCTAGTGCAGCACTCGAAAAAGAAGAAGCAGAACACAAAACCCGTTCTAGTCCTGCTTCGGGTGGTTGTGGGTGGGTTCCACGTTACGAAGACGGCGCGACCCACGACCACTCCATGGGTGGGGCGCGCCGTGGCACTGTGACACACCCTAAACCCCTAAACCCCCAAACCCCACAACCCTAAACCCTTGCTCCTAAAGCCCCGAAGCCACGAAGCAGCAGCCCTCCAGACCTGAAGCCCCCAGCCGCGAAAAAATCAGACCCCCAGGATGGGCTCAGGCCCCAAAAAGTTCCCCAAAAAAGTTCCTATAGGAACTTTTTTTAGGAACTTTTTTCATGAACTTTTATATGAACTTTTAGGTTTTATTAGGTTTGTAATAATAAAGAGAAAAAGTTCCTATAGGAACTTTCCGGCGGAAAGTTCCTAAAGGAACTTTTTTAGGAACTTTTTTCTGGCCTCGGGCCTGGGCCTGGCTGCGGATTTCAACCAGGGTTTCAGTTGAAGCACTTAGGCTCAAGCTCACGGTTTTAGAGATCAGGACGATGGCCGGTCCCTCCAAGATGAAAAAGCCTGCTGCCCAGGAGCAGGCCTTGCCTGAGCAAGGCAACGAGAAGAAGCCTGAGCAAGGCAATGCCGGCAACGGCGGCTTGCCTGCAGAAGGCACACTAGTGAAGGCTGAGCCCAAAAGCCCAGCCAAGGCTCCCCCGGTGAAGCTGGAGTTGGTGAGCCCGAAGAAAGGGGCTAGCCCGAAAAGGGCTACCTCGGCTGCCGCCAAGGCTCACCCGAAAATCGGGCAGTCCGAAGCGAAGAAGATGAACCAGAAACTGAAGGCTTTGGCCAAGGCCGGCAAGACGGCCCTGCCTGACGCTTTTGCTAAGTGCAAAAGCCAGGCAGAGAAGAGACAGTTTTTTTACGAGGTGTATCTGCTGGATCCCGAAATCTCTGAGAGGAGGGTCGCGAAGACAGACGTGCAAGCAGAGGAGGACAGAGACGACACCCAGAAGGGCTGGTTCACAGACGACGAGATCGCCGGCTTCAAAGGGATTTTCCCTCACTCGAGTGACTACTCTAGCCTGAAGAAGGCTTGTGTTCAGGACTTGCTCGAGAGAGAGCATGAGGATGAGAACTTAGCCAAGTTGGGAATCAAGCAGTACTACTTCGAGCACTGCAAGACTTTCAGCAGCAGCTCCAAGAAAAGAGAGCTTCAGCTGGAGGAGAACGTTGGGGACGTGGGCCAGGAGGATTTTGAGGAAATCCGCAAGAAGCTCAAGGGTGCGGCCACCCAGAAGATGATTAGCAAAGGCCAGTCCGGCAGGTTGCCAGGAGAAGGCAAGGAGAAGGAAGCCGAGGTTCGCATCGACCATGAGCAGAACTACAAGGACCAGCGAAAGAAGCTCACTGGCCAGCTCACCCAAGTGAGCACAGAACTGGCAACTGTGGAGCTGCTCAAGGTCTCGCTTGACCACAAGAAGCACAAGATGGCAACCGTGGTGCTGGCACAGGTGGCAGAGTTGGAGTCGAAGTTCTATTCCTGCAAAAAGGAAGTGATGGACAGCCAGCACAAGTTCCCCACTCAGCCCGAAAAGGATCACGAAAAGTTGGCCAGCAATCTGGCGGAAGTCGTGGCAAGCATCTCTGAGAAGTTGAAGCCTCTGAAAAGGGAGCTCTCATCGCACAAGAAGTGGGATGAAGAGAATGCCTGAAAGTCAAAGCGCTTCAGCGGCGAAACTCACTTGGGTCGCAGCCCCTGGCCTGCACAAGGCCGCCTGCAGCTTTTCGCAAAGCCCCAACTCTGGGGCATTTAGCTTTGACTCTGGACGAGTCGCTTTTGGCGGTGTGGAAAACCCGTTCGATTTGCAGGGTGCCGCCGAGGGTTGCCTCTACTACTACTTGTGATTTTTTCCGCAGCTTTTTCGGTTCACAGCACATATGGCTCCGTTGTCCTTGCTTTTGTTTTTGGCATGCTGGCAAGCTTGCCTGCAGAAGGCAATTGCAGGGCCCACCAAGAAACGATTGAGGGATGAGGCTTCGGATACCTCTGAGGAGTTTACTGACTATGCCATGGGACTTTATGGCAGGAATATCTTGCCAGGAACTTTGGCAAAGCGAAATCTCGAAAAAGCCACCTCAGCAGGAGCACAGGGCTGCAAGCTCAAAGGCAAGAAAGGGAAAAAAAAACGCAGCGAGAACTCTCATGAGAGCTTTCAAGAAGACTGTTTGGCCTCAGCTTTACTGGTGCCGGATCCCAATGAAAAGCAAGAAGAATAATAAGAAAGCACTCATGTGGCATGCATTTCAATTGCCGCATGAATGGATGGCAGTTTTTTTTGCTGATCCTGCTGCCTTGGCAAGGTGCCAGCCTGCACAAGGCTCCAAAACTTGGATCGCTGCGAAGGAAATCAAGCAGAAGTTGGGATGGGGCGAGGAAGCAGTGATTCCTTTTGCCCTCCACGGCGATGGTGTGCCTGTGCAAGGCACTATGAGAAAGGAAGGGCTTGATTTCCTGACGATCAATCTTCCCGCAGCTCAAGATGCCAAGCACAGATCCCCTGTTCCCTTCACGTTGTTGCAGAACGATTTTCACTGGGAGTATGAAACCAAAGACAGCATACTCAAAGTGCTTCTCTGGAGCATGCAGTGCTTGAAGGAAGGGAAATTCCCCAGCTGCAGACATGATGGAAGCCCGTGGCTCAAATCCGACAAGCAAAGGCGAACATATGTTGGGAGGGACTTGCCTGCAAAAGGCATTCTCGTGGAGATCAGGGGCGATTGGGACTGGCTGAACAGTTGGTACAACATTCCGACATACAACACCAAAAGTGGTATGTGCTGGCTGTGCAAGACCACGTTTGAGACTTTCAGAAACTGCACAGCGAATGAAAGAAATTCAGGCCTGAGCAAGGCCGAATTCTTGACCAGAGTTCGCAACATGGGCAAGCCGGTGTGCCCACTGTGGCACTGGCCAGAATTGGCCCCTCGAACGTTGATTTTGCCTGATTGGCTTCATGCCGTCGACATGGGTATTTCGGCCGATATTGCTGGGCAGCTCTTGCTCGAGCTGGCTGCGAAATATGAAGGCAGAAGTCTCAAGGATAGGGTTTCGAGCCTGTGGCTAGATGTGCAAGAGCTTTACAAAGAACACATGGTGACGGACAGGCTGCACAAGTTGACACCTGAAGTGCTAAACAAAGGGAAAAAAAGCACGGGTCCGCCGACCCTCAAATGCCCAGCAGCCACGGTGAGGCACATGATGCCTTTGCTTCCGATTTTGACAGGCAAGCATTTTGCCGTAGGCAGCGATCACGAAGTGGCTTGCCACAAGCTGGCCAAATTTTTGGCCAGAGTCTACAACAAAGTGGAAACGAATGAGCACTCTGGCTTGGACAAGGCCTCTGCCAAAGTGGCTAGCCAGTATATGGCTTTGGAGAAGGAAGCACTCGAAGCAGAGGACTCTTTGAACTGGCATATCATGCCCAAGCTGCATCAATTCCAACACATCTGTGAAAGCGGTTTCAATGCCAAGGATTTTTGGTGTTATTCAGATGAAACCCTGGGAGGGCACTTAGCACAGCTCTTCCTTCGCAGAGGTGGTGCAAACAATCCCGGCGAAAACTGTGCTCGAGCTTTGGAGAAATGGCAGCAGATTGCGCCATTTCCTGCCGTTGCCAGGCCTTGAAGCAAAACAGCTGCTGCTGCTGCTGCTGCTGCTGCTGCCTGGACCGGGCTCGAAGAGGCTTGCGATAAAGCTAGCCTGCAGAAGGCTCCCTGTAGGAAGACTTGAGCTTGGCAGCACAAGTCTGCAGCACCTGCCTTGCTGCCGCTCCGAGAAAAAGATTCGGCCGAGCTTTAGTGCTTGCAGGGCTGCAAAAGCTTTGGCACTTCATTTGCTTGTGGGTTTGCAGGTAGTTTTCAACGGTGTTTTAGAGGGTTTTCCCAGTCGAACTGAGCTTCTGGAAGCTCCGAATTGGAGCTTCTCTCCGCCGTTTGACACCTCAAAGTCGGAAGCTCCAAATCGGAGCTGCCAGCTCCAAATTGGAGCTTCGATTTGGAGCTTCCCGAATTGGAGCTTCTCGGAGTTTCAGGGCCTCCTGCTCCCGAAGGCCAGCGAGTCCTGGGTCCTCGCCACGCTCGGCAACTACTACACGGTCCAGGAGAGCAACGACGCCATCACGGCGGCGCTGCTGCCCTACTCGGACACCGCAGCCATGAACGCTGCGATCGCGGCGGGCCTGGCCACAATCGACTTCAGCAACTACTGGACAATAGCCCAGGTCCAGGCGGCGATCACCGCTGCGCTGGTGCCCGTCACCCTGAGCAACGGCCAGACCTGGACCGGCGGGCCGACCTTCAACCTGCTCCGGGGAACCAACGTGCTCCGGAACCTTTCCGTGGGAGGAGCCCTCACCGCCAGCTTCCAAAACCTGGACGACACCATCCTCATCGAATCGGACTCCTATGCCCGCAGCGAGACCTACACCCAGCTGGAAACCGGAGCCGCGATCACGGCGGCCATCGACGCGCTCAATCTCTCCCAGTACCGGACGGAGGCCCAGGTGCTGGCGCTCATCGCCGGCGAGCTGGTGCCCTACTGGGACCAAAGCGAGGTCTCCAGCTTCGTGGCGGGAGAGCTGGCCAACTACGCCACGGCGGCCTCGGTTTCCTCGGCCATCTCCTCGGCCCTCAGCTCCTACGACGACAGCACCCAGGTCGACAACAAAATCGTCACGGCCCTGCTGGACTTCTACACCCGGGCAGAGACCAGGAGATCGCCAACGCCCTCGCGGGCATCGACCTGGCGGGCTACTACACCTCGGCCCAGACGGACCAGGAGATCGCCGACGCCATCGCCGGGCTGGTGGGCGTCTACGTGCGCTGGACGGAGCTCCAGGGCCCGATCCAGAACGAGATCAACATCGCCCTGACGAACTACGACACCTCGGCGGAGGTGGACGCCAAGATCTCTGGCGCCGGCTTCCTCACCCAGGCGCAGGGGGACGCCCGCTACTTCGCGGTGAACGCCAACAACAGCTTCGGCGCACGAACGTGACGCCCCCGATGATCAAGGCCCTCCTGCCCCGGGCGCCCCTGGGAGCCTCCACCATCCTCTCGGACACCACGCTGGAGCTCACCTGCGACGCCTACACGAAGGCGCAATCCGACGGGCGCTACCTGCTCAACAACGACTTCGGGCCGCTCGACGCCAGGTACTTCCCCAACAACCCGTCGGTGCCCGAGGGCAACGGCCTCTTCCACCTGGTGCAGGACCAGTTCACGCCCCACATCACCGCAGCCTGCTCTTCCGGCCAGATCCTGGGCAACGGCAGCGTGATCGAGATCGAGGCGGACTGTTGGAGCAAGGCCCAGAGCGACGGGCGCTACCCCCTGACGGCCACCTTCAACTCGCTGGGGTCCCAGGTCACAGCCCTCGACGGGCGCGTGGCCGCCCTGGAGGCGAGCCCGCTCCCCGCCGACATCTTCTGCACCAGCCTCACCGCCTCCAGCTTCGTGGAGACCCCCGAGCTCCGGGGCACCCCGATCGTGCTGAGGGCCATCGACAACACGCCCCTGGCCTCCTTCGCCGCCGCGGGGATCACGCAACGCGGCGAAGACGCTGAACGCCACCACGGCGGATTTCGCCCAGTTCTTCGTGGGCTCCACGGCGGCCACGGGGACCTTCAACTCCAGCAGCAGCGTCACCGCGAACCTGCAGGTGGCGAGCAACCTGCGCCTGGAAGCGCCCCTGGTGCGCTGCGACTCAGCATCGAAGGAGGCACCCAGGGCGTGCTGGTGAACGCCACCCTGCGGGTCAACGGGGCCGTGGCCCCCGAGGCGTCGCTGCCCTTCCTGTCCCTCTCGGGGGGCACCAGCGGCGTGCAGGTCCTCGCCCCCTTGCTGGAGCAAATCGCCGTGGGGCCGCCGAACGGCACCGTGGGCACGGTGATCCGGAACGCCGCGCCGACGGGCGAGGTGCAGCTGCTCCTCGACGCGAACAATCAGACCTGCGTGGCGGAGCTCAAGGCCCTGGCCGGGGGCGGCGTGCAGCTCAACACCTTCCAGCAGTTCATAAGCTTCAACAACACCACGGGGCTGGCGAACCTGGCCATCGAGCCCAACATCGGGGGCAGCAACGACGGAGAGGTGATCTTCGGCTACGGCTTCGTGAACCTGAGCGACCGGGCGCTCAAGGAGAACGTGCGGGCCATCCCGGACGAGGAGCTGCAAGAGACCTTCGACGCCGTGGAGCCGCAGCTCTTCGACCGCATCGACGGCGGCAGGGAGCAGATCGGCTTCGTGGCCCAGGACGTGCAGGCCAGCGGCAAGCTGGGCGCGACGATGTGCAAGACCAAGAACCTGGACGGCCGGGAGCTGATGGCCCTCGACTACCAGAAGCTCTCCGTGGTCCTGTGGGGCGTGGTGAAGAAGCTGCAGAAGCGGGTGGAGGCCCTGGAGAAGAAGAAGAAGAAGAGCAAGGGAGACTCCGATTAGGCTTCTTGTCGGGCTCGAAAAGGCTATTCCTCAAGTCCTCCAGTTGATTGGAGTACTTGAGGAATGCGATTTTGAATAAAAATGGCGGAGGAGGAGGCCATCGGGCTGCTGCAGCAGCTGGCCCGGGACTTTAACGTCAGAGACGCTAGGAAGCTCTTCCAGATCGCCCGGCGGGAGTTTCCCGATCGGCGCGACCTCACCTCGGCGCGGGCCCAGGCGGCGCTGAGGAGCGACGTGGCGAGGCAGATCCTCAGGAGCCTGGGGAAGAGCGCGGCCGAGGGGCCCGACAAGCGGCTCCAGGCGGACCTCATCGACTTCTCCCAGAACACCAAAGGAAGGAACAAGTACGGGCTGGTGGTGCAGGACGTCTTCACGAGGGAGGTGGCGACGAAGGCGCTGCCCGACAAGCGGGCGGAGACGGTGACCCGGGCGGCCGGGGAGATCGTCCCCCAGCTGGTGGAGGGCGGGGGGAACTTCGTGGTGACCACGGACCAGGGGAACGAGTTTCGGGGCCTGGAGGAGGCGCTGCCGGGGGACGCGGTGCACCGGCAGAAGCGCCCGGAGGACCGGAACGCCACGGCGGTGATCGACCGGGCCATCCAGACCCTGAAGGAGGACCTGGCGGGCAAGGTGGCCCGGGACGGCGGCGGCTGGGGAGACCACATCGACGAGGTCTCGGAGGCCTACAACGCCCGGCCGCACCAGGCGGTCACGGTGGCGCCCGAGGACGTCGAGACAATGCCGGCTGCGACTTTTCGGGTCTATCAAGACAACGCTCGAAAGTTCAAGCACAACGACGAGCTGACGAGGAGCCGTCAGCGCCGGCTCGAGGAGGCGGGGGCGTTCCGGGCCCCCACCAATGCGGCGAGGAGCTTCCAGCCCCAGTACGGGGCGGTGCGGGAGGTTTCGAGCTACGATTCGATGACGGTGCGGGCCACTGGGTTCGGAGACTCTGCTGAAGCATGCGCTCCCGGTGCCCCGGGGATCCGCGGAGCCTAAAGCTCGGCTGACTCGACGGCCAGTACCTTTAGCGGTGCGGCAGCTTAGAGATTTCAATCCCGGGCCTGTGGCGCCGCCGTAGACTTGCCAAGTATGGGGGCCGAAAGTCCTGGCCCGGACCCCGGAAAAAACCCATCAATTCCGTCAATCGGCTCCTCGGGGTCGAAAAATTACGCTCAAGGACCCCGAAAACGGGCTCTGACCCGCTTGGGTTGCCTCGCTGTCGCTCCGGAGGTCGAAAAGTGGGGCTCCTAGACATCAGAATCGGCCAATTGATGTCGATTGATATTTTGGCCCGCGAAATATCAATCCCCTTCTTTGAACCTGTAACGCCCCAAAACACGATTGATATTACGGAGGGGGAAATATCAATCGGCCTCGCGAGGGCCGAATCGGCGACTTCGGTCGCCAAAACTCGCCCCCGGGAAAGGAAGCGAATAATCGAAACAACCAGCAATCACCCTAGAGGCCAAAACGAGTCCCCAAACGCTACAGAAACCCATCAAAAGCCCGATTGATGGAATTGATGGGCTTGGTGCCCGTCGCGGGCATCGCGGAACAAGCAAATCCCGGAGCCGTCACAGCCCCATCCAGCGAACACTAGCGCACTGCGGGGCGATGCAGGGCAGCCTAGTAGGGATTAGGGTGCTAACCGGGGTGAGTCGACGCCGAGGCCAGGAAGAGCTCGAGAGACCTGCACAGGTTGGCTTCGAAAGAGTGCGAAAAAAGAGGGCTGAAGAGTCCCGCCTCGTAGCTCGCGGAGCCGTCACCGCCTGCCTAGAGACGCGCCGGCGCACCGACCCCAGGATACACAGAGCCGCCTTTTTTTCGGCGCACGCACACACAGACACACTCACACTCATGCACTCACGGCACTCAGATTGCATCCACGGACCGACATGACACCTCAATGGCTTCGGCTGTTTGGCTTTTTTTTCCACCCCTCTATGCTGTGCAACGTCGGCCGGTCGGCCCCGTCCCCGCGTCCCCTGTGCATCGGGATCTTCCGAGACTGGCCAGACCGGGCCCGAGGTTTCCGGTCGCCCTCCTTGCCCCACTCGCGCCGTTTTCCACGCATTCAGGGTTTCCAAACAGAGATTGTTTACAAATTTGAAATATTGCTTGTAAGGCAGACTTAAAGGGTTGGTTTTTACTACATGTATGTGTTGAACCGGCCCTGACCCTAAGTCGCCTAGGCATCTAGATACGATGCTGTCTGACTCTAAGTAACCCAAACAATTGTGCAAGGAGGGTGGACCATCCGGGCTCATCCGCTGCTCAGGGCGGCACGGTCGACTGCGTCGGCTCCTTGCCACCGCAGGGCACTCACAGGGCAGCCTTGTAAGGTTCAGGGTTCTGGAGGTTTCGGGCGCTGAGGGGCGGGACTTAGGGATAGCCGGGGACCTGCACGCCACGAGAGCTTAATCTAAACGTGGTGTGGCCAGGAAGTAGTGACATCTTTGCTGCAGTCATCTAGTTCACTACAGCAGTGACCTAGATCGCTGCTGCTGCCGATCTAAGCGCGCCACTTGCAGCAAAACTGACCACACCGAAGACTGGCATAATGCACATCGCAAACGAGAGAGACCGTGCAAAAGGATGTGCAGAGCTAGATGGTGCCTGCACAGCACTGATTCTCCGGTTTCCTTCACAAATCACATCGCCCGGCCTTTCAAGTTCGCTGCCACGGCAAAAAGCCGTAGCAGTCTAGCCTAGCAGTGATGCCGTCATGTGGAAGTCAAATGGCTGATCACAGAGCCGAGTGTTGGGCTCGCTGGTGTTCTGACGCAGGGAGGTTGATGCGTTTTTGACGCGTTCCCACGCTCCAGCCTGCCAGAATCGGAGGCGAGGGAAGGATCCAACACAAAAGGCAGTCTGGGGCTCCGCGCTTCTTGTGAGTAGATGTCGATATTCCTTGCATCGATGTCCTTGAGACTGACGGGATTCTTCTGCTTGATGGCCTCGTGGACTTGGGCAAATGTCGGGACAGGCAGCAAAAGTTAGCATGCCGAGGTCGGGTCTGTTTTCAAGTGGTCCACATTTTTGAGTATCGGATGGTCCTTGCCGGAATGCACCAAACTCCACTTCACATCGAGCAGCGTCCGATGGCCTGAGGGGACTCCACCTGAAACGCCGGCTCGAGCTCCTCCTCGCCCTCAGGGTCTTGACGAGACCTTATCTGCGCAGAGGCGCTGCTCCCAAAACGACCGGCAATCGGAATCCTCCTTGGGCCTCAGCTTGGCGGTGACCGTCCCATCCTGCGCGGCGAGTGGTGTCGAAACTCCCAGCCCCGAACCGCCTCCCGAACCGCCACCCGAACCATCCCGCCGTGACCCATCAATTCCATCAAGTGGCGGATTCCCCCTGAGTTTTCCACTACAGTGCAAACTGCCTCGACACAAAGGGGAAGGCCCCCATCAATTCCATCAATTCCGTCAATCGGTTCATTGGGGTCCAAAAACGTGATTCCAGAGCACAAAAAACGGGCTCGAAGCTGCTGTTGTGTGGGCTCCGTTTGCGTTGAAGGCGGCAACGAGGTCGAGAAGACGATTTTCGATCCCGAAGAACCGATTGACGGAATTGATGGAATTGATGGTTCTTTCCGGGCCCCCGGGGGCTTGGAGCAGAGGCCAAAAACAACTCCGGACCCGGGACCGGAGAAAACCCATCAATTCCATCAATTCCGTCAATCGGTTCATTGGGGTCCAAAAACGTGCTTCCAGAGCACAAAAACGGGCTCGAAGCTGCTGTTGTGTGGGCTCCGTTTGCGTTGAAGGCGTCAACGAGGTCGAGAAGACGACTTTCGATCCCGAAGAACCGATTGACGGAATTGACGGAAAGGATGGTTCTTTCCGGGCCCCCGGGGGCTTGGGGTAGAGGCCAAAAACAACTCCGGACCCGGGACCGGAGAAAACCCATCAATTCCATCAATTCCGTCAATCGGTTCATTGGGGTCCAAAAACGTGCTTCCAGAGCACAAAAAACGGGCTCGAAGCTGCTTTTGTGTGGGCTCCGTTTGTGCTGAAGGCGTCAACGAGGTCGAGAAGACGATTTTCGATCCCGAAGAACCGATTGACGGAATTGATGGAATTGATGGTTCTTTCCGGGGATCCGGGGGCTTGGAGTAGAGGCCAAAAACAACTCCGGACCCGGGACCGGAGAAAACCCATCAATTCCATCAATTCCGTCAATCGGTGCATTGGGGTCCAAAAACGTGATTCCAGAGCACAAAAAAAGGGCTCGAAGCTGCTGTTGTGTGGGCTCCGTTTGCGTTGAAGGCGTCAACGAGGTCGAGAAGACGATTTTCGATCCCGAAGAACCGATTGACGGAATTGATGGAATTGATGGTTCTTTCCGGGCCCCCGGGGGCTTGGAGCAGAGGCCAAAAACAACTCCGGACCCGGGACCGGAGAAAACCCATCAATTCCATCAATTCCGTCAATCGGTTCATTGGGGTCCAAAAACGTGCTTCCAGAGCACAAAAACGGGCTCGAAGCTGCTTTTGTGTGGGCTCCGTTTGCGTTGAAGGCGTCAACGAGAATTCCGTCAATCGGTTCATTGGGGTCCAAAAACGTGCTTCCAGAGCAAAAAAGGGCTCGAAGCTGCTTTTGTGTGGGCTCCGTTTGCGTTGAAGGCGTCAACGAGGTCGAGAAGACGATTTTCGATCCCGAAGAACCGATTGACGGAATTGATGGAATTGATGGCTTTGATCCCTGACGCGGGGTAGCATCGGCATCCAGAGCATCGGCATCCAGAGCATCGGAGGCGGGAGGACCTCCATCAAAACCATCACATGATGACGATTCGAGCTGCTTTTCCAGTCGAAAAGGACGGATTTGATGCTGTTGATGTTGATCCCTGTCGCAGGGTAGCATCGGCATCCAGAGCATCGGAGGCGGGAGGAACCCCCATGAAATCCATCGATTCGGGCTGTGCTTTGAGTCGAAAATACCGGATTTGATGCCTTTGATGCTTTTGATCCCTGTCCCGGGGTAGCATCGGCATCCAGAGCATCGGCATCCAGAGCATCGGCGGCGAGCGGTGTCGAAACTCCCAGCCCCGAACCACCTCCCGAAGCCCCTCCCCGACTTGTCATGCTCCGCCCCTGCCGACGCTCAGAAGCACTCCAGCAATCCCGAGCCCAGCACCTCCACCACATCCCACGCCAGGGCCCACCAAGCCCGGCCAAGAACTCCACCACAGGGCTAACACTGCATGCGCACACAACGCCGTCCTTCCGGGCCAGCTCCCTCACCCAGACGACGGATGAGGAGGTCGTGCCTCGCAGAACGCCAAAGGCTGGTATCTCGAATCCTCCAGCCTCCATGGTCACATGTCTTAGCACCTGGAGCAACGGTCTCAAACCTTGCAACTCTTGTGCCTGCAGGTCCGGCAGATGGGCCTCACAGGGTGCTATAACGGACGCAAGGCAGCCGAGAATTGCAGATCAAACAAGAGAAAAGGACTCCGAAGCATCATGATGCGCGAGGGCAAGAGAACCTACTTCCGAAACACCGAAGCAGAGAACGGTGACAGACAAAACAAAAACAATACTACCAGACTTCTCACCCAGCGTCTGCTCTGAGCTTTTGGAGACAGGTTGATGCTCTTCAGCGATTGGACGCTGTAGAGCTCAGGCTCGCCATCGTCTTTGAGCACCAACCTCCTTGCCACGAGGTCGCAGTCCACCCTGAAGGTGTTGATGTGTTCGATGCCCTTGTTCTTCACGTGAACGGTGTAAGCGGTGTGGGCGATGTTGGGGACCAAGCCTATGATTTGGACTTCGTCTCCTTCAGTCTTCCTCACGGTCTCGAGCATCTTCTCATTGTTGTTGCCGATGATGTATAAGCCCTTGTGCTTGGCATTCTTGTAGTTATGGAGCTTCTGGTTGAAGGGCTTAAGGTGCTGCTTGATCCCGCTCTTGGCGCCCTCCATGACGAATGTCTCCCCAGAAATGTTGACAATAAGGTCTGGCTTCCCGTGACCCTCCTTCGACGATTGTGGAGCAAAGGCCTTGTAGCCCATTTCCGTCAATACACTGATGATGGCTTGGCTATAATGTGGCTCATGTGGAAGACCGTCTGCCACCCCCAGCTCAGATGTTACTTCTTCGAAGCTCACAACCTTGGAGAAGAACAGGTAGGGCAACGCTCTCATCAGTAAGTCTGCACAGCTTTCGGGTTTGCTGGAGCAGAACTCAAGCTCTAACCCACAGGTCTTCTGTAGTTGGAAGCGGTAGTACGCGGCCAGTAAAGGGTTCGCCACCTTGTAGGGCAAGTTGTCATTGGTCCAGTTCAGCTTCTGAAGCTCTTCTGCGCTGTCATGTCTTGGAAGCACGAAGCCGTTGATGGCGAGCTCCCTCCGAATGTCGTGTCCGATGGTCCGTGCCCCTCCACACAAGAGCTCTACAAACTCTTTGGGAGTATTCTCAACAGAGCTGTATCGTCCATTCACTTTCACGGCGCGGCTCTCTCTCAAAGCTCCCAGAATCTCAGCATCGCTACAATCCCACCTTCCATCGCCATGGCTATTCCGCACAAACCCCGCTGTCTCCTTGAAGTCCCAGCTTTCACCACTTGTTTGTTTACTCTGCACCCAGTGCATTGCTGCGATGAAGATGCCACGATGTCCACCGCAAAATTGGATGAAGAACTCGATGCTCTTCTGGTCCAGCCTCACACCCGCTTCCCTCAGTTGAGTCTCCAGCTCGTTTGTGTAGATTAAGGGTGGCGCCCACATGAACTTTTGGGTGATTTCACCAGGCGTGGACGCTGTGAGAGTTTCGGATACGGATGCATCGCCTGAGGCTGAAAATAGCAAAAGTTTTGGTCGATGCTCTGTGTCGCCCTTGAAGAGCGCTGAGCATAGATCTGATGACGCAAAAAGCGTGTGCGCCTCGTCGTAGACAAGGGTCAGGCTCTCGTTTGCCGCCAGCTTCAGCGCATTCCGAAAGGCCAGGTCATCCTTGTTGATCGTTTGGCTCGTCGCCTTCTCGATGGCTTCCACAGTCCCCAGCTGCCAAGCAGCTTGCTTTCCTGCACCCGTGAAGGGCACCATGACGTACTTGTCAAACTGACGTGCCAAATGCTCCGCCCATGTGGTCTTGCCGGTGGCTACACCGCTGCGGATGAAGACAACACTATGTCCGCCTTCAAACAATTCGCCAACCCGCTCAGAAGAACCTTGTAGGGAAATGAAGACATGTTGGTCTTCCCGAGCCACCTGTCCAATCGGTTGCAGCGTTCGAGGCTTCTTAGCAGGTCGCTCTTTTCCACCTTTTGCAGGTCGCTTCATGGGCAGAGGACATCTAACGTGTCCCACAACCTGGATACTCAATGTGTGCATGATAAAAAGGCAAACAGTCTGTCAAAACGTGCGCTGTTCATGAATGCCGCAGCTGACTGCTTGAGTGACAAACCTCGGCTCAATGGGTTGTGCCAACATCTGCATTAACGGACACATCAAATCTGGCGCCATCAAGCACCTGCGCAAAAGGCCCTACCATCAATGCCTGCCCACGAAGGAAACACTTCACATGAAACATCCTCTGCAAACAACTTTCTTGCACTAGCCTGGCAGAGAAAGGAAAAACATGGTTCTGCGGATCTGCCGGCATGGTCAGCGGGGTATCCGAGGCTTTTTGGCAGGCGCTCGATCTTCAAACAATTCGCCAACCTTCTCAGAATAACCTTGTAGGGAAGTGGAAACATGATGGTTTTCCTTAGCCACTTGTCCTATAGGTGGCTGCGTTCGAATGGCACGACTGGGTGCGCTGAAGCTCATGGGGGCAATGCGATGGCTCTCCACCAATCGACACTGAACGCTCCAAACCGCGAGACCTTGAGCCAAACCTATGAGGGATGCACTCACGGCCCGGGAAGGTCTTTTTGGTCTCGCGGGCCTTCTCGGGGCTGTGTCGCTTTCTGGCCGGCGGGCCCGGAACATGCGCTCAACATAACCGGGGGTTGTGTTGAAAATCGGGGCCGCGGCAGGCCCGTGATGCCCGGCGATTCCGTGTGGCTGTGTTCGACCCATCCTAAACCCTCCCCGACCACGTTCCGGGGCTGGCTGGCACCGATTTGGCCGCCTGGCCCGGAACAGGCGCTCAACACAAGCGGGGGTTGTGTTGAGAATCGGGGTTCACACCCGTGCGTGGTCGGCTCGCAAAACGGGCGGCGCTGGGGGGCGGTCGGGGCGCACCCTCGCCGGGCGGCTTCAAAATCCAAAAAAATTGGGGTGCGGCATGGTGTTTTAGAGGCATGCGTGTTTGGAGTGATAAATGCCGGCAATGTAAAAAATGGATGTGGCGTGCCGGAACGCCACGGAGGACCCCAGCGAAGCCAACCTCGTGCGGCTGCTGGATCTGTGGTCGGCGGATTGGAAGCACCGGGGGCGCACCCGGGCGGTGGGGCCGGGGGCGTACGAAAGGTACGCAACGCTGGGGCTGTTCGGGCACGGCGGCGTGGTCGGGGTGTCCAATGCCACCGGCCTGCGGGAGGCCTGCGCAGCCGTCAACGGCTTTCTCCGGAGCCGCTTTCCGAACGGCACTTGGACGTCCATAGCTGTACTCTTCAACCCGCGCATGGGCTTGCACCGCGACATTCAACATGCCCGGGCACCTGAATCATGCGCTGGCTCTGGGTGATTGCACAGGAGGGCGGGTGTGGATCGAAGACGATGAGGGGGACTCGACGGCCCGGCTGGCCGACAAGAAAGGGGACCGGGAACTGCGGGGCAGGTGGCTGGACATGCACGACAAGCCAGTGAGCTTCGATGCTCGTCGATATCACAAGGTCGAGCCCCACGAGGGCAGCATGTGGGCTCTGGCTGCCTACGTGCCACAAGCCTATGCTCGGGCGACAGAACAGCACCGGGAGGCACTGAGAGGAGCGGGTTTTCCGTTACCTCGTTGTAAACGATCTTCGTCGTTTACTTCCTGAAAACTGGGGGGAAGTGTGTGATATCGTGAGGTCCGGGAAGTGTACGTTTTCGCCGTACACTTGAAAATGGAAGTTTCGCACGGAATGCGAAACTAACCTCTTCTGAAAGTGCGAATCCTGCTTCAAAAAATCCAGCCGGGAGAGGGCCGGAAAAACCATCAATTCCATCAATTCCATCAATCGGCTCTTCGGGCTGCAAACAGCGCTTCCGGAGCCCAGGAACGGGCTCGAGCTCGCTTCGCGCGCTTTCCGCTTACGTGGACGGGGTCGAAATCGGTGCTTGCGGGCCCCCAAAACAGGCGATTGATGGCGATTGATATTTCCCCGGCAAGAATATCAATCGAGGTTTCGGGGCTTTTTCTCCCTCTGGGGAGAGTGTTCCAATTCCCTGTCCTGTGTCGTCTACAGGCCTCGTTTCGAGACATAGGTCAGACTTCGGCACTTCGAAGGCCTATCGATTCTGCAACGTGCGGGCCGGAGCTCAAGCAATCTCTGGGGCTCAAAAGTGCTTGCAAAGAGCCTCCAAGTGGCTTTAGGGGGCCCCCTAGCCAGCAACTTCGCAGGCCTGCGATTCGGAAACAGCACTTGCAGGCTTCTGAGGCCCCTGAGTGGCTTCCACGCTACTCGCAGACCCACAAAACGTCTTCCTAGTGGCTCGCAGACCCGAAAAACGTTTTCCTAGCAGCTCGCAGGCCAACAAAGCGCCCTGTAGCAGGCTCGAAAAGCGCCGTCCCAGTGGCTCGCTAGTGGCTCGCAGGTCTCCTAACTTCCTAGGCTCTCACAGGCTTCCAAGTAGCTCCGAGGCCTGCGCACGGCCGAATTGCAAGCACTTTGGAGCCCCAAAAATTGCACGTTCTGGTGCGTCCAGACCCTCAGATCTGCACCGTGAAATGCCGAATTCTGACCTATGTCTCGAAACGAGGCCTGTGGACGACACAGGGCAGGGACTGAAACACTCTCCCGAGAGAGAGATATCGAAAATGCTCCGAGAGGCGAAAGCAGCGCAGTCCGAGCCAGCTTCCCACCGAGGCGGGCATCGCAAGGGCAGCAGAGTGCAGCAGTAACGGGCTCACGTTTTGCAAGCATTGGCGCTTCTGCGTGAATTCTCTCATCGCGACAATGCAGCACTGGCAGAGCTCTGCGAGTTCCAGCTCACGGATGACAAAGCTTGTGACCTTCGTGGAGGGAATTGGTGGTGGTTGCTGGCAGATAAAATTGCCGCATCATGGCAGCATGCGGATCACTGAGCTAAGCCTTTTTCCGACAGTACTGAATGCCCCTGCCGATACAAGTGTTCTGCTATGTCGACCCTGGTCCCCACCAGCACCGCCGACAGGTGGCTGCTCTCCCTGACAACACCTGATTGTCCCTGTCCCTCACGGCAGGGTCAATACGCATCAACGTCGACCAATTGGGATGCGACATCTGCAGCTTTGCCGACAGAGCTCTGCGGCTCTGGTGCTGCACGAAGAACTACCACCGATGAATGTAACGCACACTCAGCTTCCCATCAGGGCGGTCTCGCAAGGGCCAGCACACCCAGCCAAGCTGTGGGCCAGTAACCAGCTCAAATGGCGCAAATGCTGCAGTGGTAGGTGGGGAGTGCAAGGTCCGGGAGGGCAACAGCAGCGCACACTGGGGCACCCGACACCATTGTCCAGCTTTCATTGTGGGTCTCACAAGGGGGGTCCACGACGTCCTTCGGCGGCAGGGTCTGATGGTTTGAAGTGGGGACAAGCCGAACCAGATGCCACCTTTTGGCTTCGCTGGCCCGAACTATCATCTGAAAGATCCGATCAACCCCGCAGGAAAACACACTGCGCCAAAAAGGTCGACACACGGCCAGATCCTGCTGACGGACCCGCAGAGAAACGCCTGCTGCCTGTCGCTCATTGGCTCAGTCGTGGGTGGTGCAGAAGATCAATTGCACACAAACCCAGATACAATCGCGTGTCACAGGCCGCCCGAGAAGGGAGGATGCCGCGCAGATCGTCTGCGTGTACGCCCGCTGCTTGCCCAGGCGGAGGGGGCCCCGTCCCGCAGAGTAAGAGTGGCGGGATCATCCGTGGGCGCCACGTTGCTGGTGGCCTTGTCAGGGTGGGATGGTGCTGGGTGGGATGAGCGTCCAGAGCTTGGAGTGACTTGTCTAAATTCTCCTACGATGACTTGTTTGGAAAATGCAGGGCGGCGAACAGCTCGTCCTCCTTAACACCGGCTCCCGAACTGATTGGGGATCGTTCCTGTCATACCCAGCAGCTGACAACCCCAGTGCTCGGCCTGAGGCCTGCCGTGTGCGCTGGCGCACGTTCGTCAGTGGACCCAGCAAGGCGGCTACCTCCAGCAGGCGTCCGGGGCCCAAGCGGATCAACATGTGGTATCTTGCGCTTCTTCTTGATGGGCCGTTTGCAGAGATTGTCCGAAGGGACTTTGCCGATGTGCCGATGTTTCCTTATGTTGAGTACGCGCCCTTTACATTGGGCGACGGGGATCAGCTTCGAGGAGTGGTTGCTGACTGGGTGTAAGAGCTGAGTGTGACCTCGTAACCAACATCTTGCAGACGGAAGCCAATCCACAGCAGAGTGGCGAAAGCGGCCCGGCATTTCGGGCGCAAGGGGCTGGCGGACGGCCTGCGCTATCCCGTTTTGGGCTACAGGTTGTCCCAAATTCCACAAGCCCTCTAATACGTATCTGTTTACCAGGGCACAGCTCGCCCGGCGCCAGGACCTTGCGAGTGGACCTTTTCATACACTCTCAATGATGAGCACATGGAGGACCCTGCTTCTTTTCGTCGGATTCTGTGGGATCTTGCGATTCACTATTGGGGATGGCATGCACCGCAGGTTCGCCTGCAGCCGTAGTGCTGGCGCATTGGATCAGGCCCCGCAAACTTTGATGCCACATCACAGCCCCGCCCTGGCCATTCGGCAAAGCGGCGGTGGCTGGGATGGTGAGGATTTGAGGCCTGGATCATTGGCTTTACATTTGGCATGCTCAGGTCCTCTCATCGGAACGGTGCCACCACTGGTGTGCTGTGTCTAGTAGGTGGATGTGACTGCTCCGGGATTGCAGTTGCTTTTGCGAGTCTTACTTGGGTGGGAAGCTGGGCTGCCTCCCGTGTGGCCCTGGTAAGGTGTGCGGGCCGCCAGTGGTACGGCCGGCACTCTTTTGGTCAACGAGCTGCCCCTGTCTATGTTTATGCAGCGATGCGGTCCATGGCGACCTGTCTACTTGACACGACCTTCAGCACGGCGTGCTTTTTGCCCTTGCGAGGCCCACTTGGTGGGAAGCTGCGCTTGTGGTTGAGATCATCTCGCCTGGCACGTGCGTTGCATCCTCGCAGCCGCATCGGTTCTCGGGGCACTGGTTAGGTTTCGAGCCATGGCCACGCTTCCTGAGAATCTTGTGGCTCAGATTGTCCATTACGTCTCTGGGCGCTCGCTGCAGGTGCTCTTCTGTGCCCCACCATCGGATGCCACTCGGCAGTTGCTGTCCGCAACTGACCCGCATGAGCGAAGGGCAGCTGGCCTGGTCCTTCGACAGCAGTTTGCTGAGTACCAGGGCCGAGTCTCTGCCTTCTTGGCGCAGCGCACTTTCAGAGGAGTCTGGGTCGCGACCAACTTTCAGTTGATCGTACGACTTGGCTTTCAGGTGCGCGCCACCATTCTACAAATCGATCTCGAGGCCTTAATGGTGCTGGCTCCGGCGTCGCGACTTGTCTGTCGGATTGTCCTCGCACTGTACGAGGGCGCTGACTTCTTTCGCGCCGAGGCCATTCAGTCGGCCTTAACAGCAATGCAACCCTGGGCTGTGGGATGGCCTGGTTTGGCGAGACTGCTTTACTTTCCCATGGAGCCCTTGGGTGAGCTCCCCATTACACGCCTGCGATCTCCGCTGCCGGTTTTCGTCCTACCTTGCCGGGATTCCTCTTGCTCCGATTAGCCCTTGCCCTTGCGAGGCCCACGTCGGTGGGAAGCTGGGCATGGGCGCATTTACTGAGCAGCTCAGGGTCGAACTGGCCTCTTGAAAAAATGGTGTTTGGTGTGGTCGCTGCCTGTTCTTTCTCTGCCCTTGCGAGACCCACGTGTGGGAAGCTGGGCTAGGAACGCGTGGCGCCCTGCACGCTGCTGACTGTCCAGCACGGCCCCTGTCCAGTGCTTCCTGGCTTGCTGCATAGTGCGAAAATCAGAGTGTCTGCCCTTGCGAGGCCCACATTGTTGGGAAGCTGGGCTTGAATCAAAGTGCTCCTGCACTTGCCACTGCAGGACGCTCTCCGCTTCTGTATGGGTGCTTGGGCGTATTCCACCACACCAAGCGCCTCTCCGTCTTGCCCTTGCGAGGCCCTCTTTGGGAAGCTGGGCCAAGTGCACAAAACGGACGGGAAGGGTATGTTGTTTTGCCCGCCCCCTTTTGGATGCTGGGCAACTTATGTGCCATTGCGCAACTCAGTCCGACTGGGAAGCGGGGCATCTGAGCGGTGGTAGTTGCTAGGTTCCGGGCATGTCTTGCCGAACGACGTCTGCCGGCTAAGTCTGCTAGTCGCGGCCTGTCTCACCCTGTTATGCTTCGTCTTTTCTTTTGTACAGTTGATTTTGTTCTTGGTCTTGGCATTATTGTAGTTCTTACTGGGGCCGAGTGCAGCAACCTGCTGTCTTTGAGGCCCGCCCACGCCAAAAAAAGCAAAGTCTGTTCCAATTTCCAGAAACAATTTAAGCACTGTTTTTGAGAATTCACACTGCTCCAAAAATTCGCTTAGCAGGTTGCAATCGTGCCGACTTCGAGGTAGTTACTTCAGTCTTGTTGCTGCGTAGCTTGTCACGCAGTGACTCATCTCTTGGCTTTGCAGCAGATGGGGTGGGTTCTCTCAAAAGAGCGATCCGTCAAGATGGCGGAAGCCTTCGAAGGGGTCTGTGAAGGCTTTGAATCCATTTTTGGTCTGCTTCTCACTTTTTTTTGAATTCTCAATTCCAAGGAGTTTTTTTTGCTTACGCAGCCACTCCAACCAACACAGCTTTTGAGCTGTTGCAGATTGAAACTTTTCCATCTCTTTCAAGTCTGATTGCCCAAAACTTTATCAAACGCGAAGCATCTTGAGGCAT